TATATATATATATATATATATATATATATATATATATATATATATATATATATATATATATATATATATATATTGGTGGCCAATAAGGGGTTCCAGGCGACTTGCTGAAGACGGAGTGTCCCAATCATGTTGTTGATGCATCTATCGAAGTGTGTGTGGTGTAATATCACATTCTTGAATGCAGAACAACAAATTGGCCACTATTTCCCAGTCTCCTACTGCTCCCCGGTCATTGGAATATGGACATCAGCAATCTATGATGGCATCCAGATAGATAGCAGAAGCAGACAAGTAAGCATCATTATTGATCCACATCATCTGATCTTCCCCATTGGGAATCAAAGACGACCACACTTCTCTTATCTAGCAAGAGAACACACGCTGAGGAACGCCTCCGCAATGAAGCAGTGGAGGTCCGACGGATTGAGCACCACGTAGCAATAGACCAGCTCTTCCATCTCCTCCCAGTCCCTGACGCCGCCGTCTCTTATCATCTCGAGTATCGACTTCCTGAAGTCGGCAAAAGGGTCGACCGAGTACTTCACCGCGCAAATGCTCTCCTTCAGGTCGCCGCGCACGTCGCCGGGCAGCCTCGCCGAGAAGCTAATGTTCATGGTGGAGCATCTCCCAGCCGTCCTCCTCCTCCGCTCCTCTCTCGCACTCCCAATGCCTCCGTTTCCCATTGCCTGCGCACCTGTCATGTTGCGAACAGCCAGCCTACTCGAATGATAACAAGATTTATATGCAAGCCGGTGTCGAGGGTGGGTACTGCTCGGTAACCATCATGAGCCGTGGTGGCGTTCACTGCAGAATCATGTGGGTTTTGCTACCTGGGTAAATAAGACAGCGGAAGAGATAGGGTGCTGCTCCATTGCAGTCTGCAGATCGTACGGGATCTGCTTTTGTTTGTGTCATTATCTTCATCGAGCTCTCAAAGAAAATATAGTAAGGTTGCTCTATTACAATATAACTGTATGTATGCTACTGTCATTGGATTCACGTAGGTAGGGTTACAAAGAAGAAAACAGGTCTCATGTGTCCTTCTCTCTTGTGCTACTATGTGACATTGCAGTGCTAACTTCCGCCCATGCAATAATTGCGCGTGGGGCAATCACAAGCATGTGCTGAGTCGGCTTTGTTGGGAGGCATTCAATGAATCCAGAGATACCCAAAGCACTCTCTCACTTCTTTGGCAGTTGGTGGGTGAGCTTATCATAGATAAAAAATGTTATTGATTTATGATACTTACTCTAATAAGATTAATATGTATATGAGTCATGAGTCTAGACTATCAATTATTTAGGAGTGTGATCTTCCCTTATGAGGTACGTAAATCAGATTGAGGAAGAAATAATATTTTTCTAATTTTCAATTATTTTTATTATTTTATTATTTTATTTTCTCATTTTCGATCCTAGTTCTCGATAAGTGGCACCATAGCCACAATATTTTTTATTTGTTATTGTCGATCCTAATTTTTAGAGGAAATAATTATGTGACATGGAGTGCGAAAATAAAAACTTGGTTTCGATGACAAGATTTATGAAAAATTATCGAACAAGACTATGATATAGTCAGAGGCATCAAAGAAGATTAAAAAATAATAATTTGCATGTCCATTATTCCCTTCGATAAGTAGTTGATGAGATTTTTTTTTTTTAATTTCTACTGCAACAAATTCTAAGGAGGCTTAGGAGATCTTAGAATAAGAGTATCATCACATCTCTAAGGTATTGATCTCAAAACTCTTTTAAGAAATTTTAAAAAAAAATTTATGAATAGAAGTGAAGTTTATTTTTCATGAGTTATGAAGATAGTAAATAGGATGAGAAATTAATTTCTGATAAAATATTAAAAATATTTCAAGAAGTCTCTCTAATAGATCATGTAGAATCAATAGGTCTATCTAAGTTACATGTTTGTGAATTATTTGATTCTTTATGATCACATGAGATTAGGCTGAATAGATCTTGAGATACTTACACAACATATATAAATGGAAAATAAATTAAATATTTTCAAAAAAATAAAAAAAATAGTGAAGTTAAAAAAAATAAAAGAATGATGCTGTAGTTGTGGTTCAAGAGATACAACAAATAATCAGAGGAACTATGAACCGAATGATCAGACAAAAAATATGATCACATTGAAAGATTTTGCTAGCTAATTTTGTAGGGGGGGATGATAAATCTGAAATTTTATTTTTTACATGTCAATTTATTAATAATGCACCAAACAAATGGGATTTTACTATCAAAGTAGAGTATGATGATAAACTTAAATGGTTCATTGCTTGTAGAGACAGATCATGATGTGACTATATTAAAATATTTTTTTTGACCTTTTCAAGTTTAGTTCAGAAATTGATGTTAGTTTTACTATGAAGATGATGATATTATAGCACTAGATGATGACGATGAGTTGTATAATATAGTTTTTAATTATCATTTTAATTTTTTTAGAATTAATATTTAGTTAAAATTTAATGCTAGTATTGAGTTAGACTTAAATATGGATAATATATGCTCTGCAACTTCAATGTCAAATTGAAGTTTTTCAGAAGAAGCTACTACAAGAAAGGTATGATTAAAAATTCCAAAAAAAAGAAGCTCGATTTATCACTTCCAATTAAATTTTTAAAAAGAAGCAAAACAAAAAATTGATTCAGAGAGATTGAAGAATTCATATTTTTTAGAAAGATAAATTGACATATGTAGTGAACACTCAAGTAATAGTTTCAAGTGAAAATTATTTTTTGATAAGTCTACGATTATCACTTCCAATTAGCTTGGTTTATCGGAGATGCTTGAAGCATAACAAATTAAGATACTATAATAAAAGAGATTAACCTTTATCATAGGAGAATTTTTTATTTTGAAAAAAGAAACTCGTAACATTATAGGGGTGTGCTAAGATAATATTAATGATTTAAATAATTTGAAGCTCTTTAGATAAGAGTTCTATTGATTTAAAATACCTACTCTAGATAAGACTACCATGAATTCTAATATGTCTCCCCTTATGAGATACTAAGTCAGATTAAGGGATGAATAATTGAGGGAGGAGCAACAGATGGAAGATAGAGTATTGGTTGAGGGTTTGTAATCATTTTTTTAATAAAGTTTTTTATTTTAAATTATTTTGATTCTTTCATTGGTGTTTAGATTTTGTCTCCTCTCGTTTTTTGATTCTGATTCTCGGCACCACCATATACTCGAAAGAGGTTACCCTTCTGCTTATTTTAAGATGATCACAAGGGGAGTCATTTGGAAGTGAATGAATTGTTTCTTCTGACAAGAGGTTTCCTTGGGCAGCTGAGATCATGAATGCTGGCCTCCCGCTGCACCTATTTTTGGCCGAGGGTTTTTCTTGGATTTAAGCTTCTCACATCTTCCGGGAGGGTGATAGCGAGCGTCCATCGTGTTGCTGAGCTGAGGAGGAGGACTTATGAGGACGGTCCTGAATTCGGATCCTATATTATAATATAGTATGATTGCTTGCTTTGCACATTGCATGCTGGTTTTCGGAGGACAAGTCAAGTATTAAAAGACAAATAAGTGCTGAATCATGTAAAAATTATGATATATTGATTCATTCAATGGCTGGTCGGCTCATTCGAGTTCTCTAATTTCAAAGATGATCTGTCACGTACATCATCAATCGAGATCGGTGGGCGTAGAATTAGTAGACGTAAGATTTCCTCTTCTTACTTATTAGATTTTGATACATTGTTGTAGCCATTATCTCAGAATCTTTTTTTTTTGTTGTTCATCAGTTTCGCTGCTAAATCCTCTTTTGATGTGTCACCCTTTCATCTCTGAATCCGAACTCATGTTTGCTGGGGCTCATCCACTGATGATTGCAGAGGATTGATTTATCACGCTCAAACCAGCATGCCAAGAACTGTGCGTTCCTTGAGATCAATCGGCTCAGAAAGTGCAGTCACTTGTGTCGAATTCAATTACACAATTCGTTGTAGAATGCTACAAATCTTAAGTCGAGGATAACAAAGAGAAGGGATGATGCAGGTGCTATGCTTTTGTCCGAGTTGACGTACACCGAAGGGAGTGAGGAGGGGCCCCACTAGCTCCAAGCCATGGGCGAGTGGGCCCTACTACCCATTGTCGCTGGGCGGGGGCAAAGCGTGGGATGTTTTTAACGCTTTCTGCACTCAGGTGTGACCAACTTAGACCTTAAAATACATTTTATAATGATATATATATATATATATATATATATATATATATTATATACACTAAATTGTATTTAAAATGATAAATATGACAACACT